GAATTTGGAAGCAGCACAGAAATTAGTTTTATGGGTAAATTACAAAGGTCATGTATATGTTTACTCAAGTGTAGTATCGTTAGCCACAAAGATTTAAGGGACTTAATGACACTAACCTTTCCAGATGGGTCATCCTTCTGTGGTTTGTCCATTTCAAAGTTTCAGCAACTTTAAATGAGAAGATCATATCATATCAGGCCTCTAGCTTTCACAGAATACCCATAGCAAGAGAAGATATTCCACAACAAGCAGGGGGAAGTGGAAGGTTTTACAGAAACTATTGCATAAATCATCTGCTGAAAAGGAACTGACAGTACCTCTACTGTATGTGCCAACATGCAATATGGCCACTAGTACAAGGACACACCAAATTATAGCTCAGAGCTTGGTCACAGGTTTCCCAGAGGAAATGCCTTTCAAGTGATAAAAGCAATGAAGTAAAATCAGTTCTCTGGTAAGCCAGAGCTTCGTCTTATGTGAAACCTTATCTACAAAACTTTGACTACAGTTTGAGGCTGTGGATTTTTAGACAATCTTTCAACAACTAAAAAAACCAATGGTCTGGATTTGTGCTGTACCGCAGTGTAGGATTCCACATGGGTGGCCAAGTGGAAGAAATAGCCAATTAAAACAGTCAGTCTGCCACCTAGTGGTCTAAGAACAGTGACACCCAGAACCAAATGCAGACTGGACAATCTGTGAGAAATTTAATGAAAAACCAGCAGACCCAAAATTGGCCTAATACTATATTTTAGTTTCTATCAAAAGCAGTGCATGGCATTAGACTGCCTGGTGTGTTTCAAGCTAGAACTCTATTTTCATGCTCTTTATGAAAGAAAAACTGGATTTAACTTTTTATAGGGGTGTTTGCAGTATAACTGAAGACAACAGAAGAAAGTATTTTTCACATAGAGTACTGAGTGTAGTACTGCTGATTGTCTCTCCTGCCACACGGTTAATTACATTTCATAGCATTGAGTCAGCATGAAGAATACAAATGAGTCCCAGATTGGAAGACTAGAATGAAAACCAGCAGGACTCTGAGTGCTGAGGAGCAGGATTAAGAAGCACAGCTGTGGAGTATAAAAAGTTGTAACCTAACTTTCCTTCACAATATCTATTTCATTAAACTACTGCTTTGATTTTGGGTCAATGACTTACATTACGAAACTTTACAGGCTCTAATCATTGGTTGCAAGACCTTTTGATTATAAGAAAACCACAATGGAACAAAAAATACACACATCCTATGCGTATAATAACAGTAAGTGAAAGGAAGAAGTATCATTCAACTTCACTAAGCTCTTACAGTTCTGTGGAAAGAGAAGAAAGAGTTAAAAACCAATGCTGAAACTTTGTTCTTTCACATTTTTGTTACCAGACAGAGTGGAGATATTTTCCCATATACGGGCTTGTGTATTCAGTGCATACAGAGGGACAACTGACCCAGCATTACTGTACATACACACACAACACTCAGAACTGTGAAAGTGAGGCTGACAAATCATTAATTATAAGTCATTCCCATTGCATGTTATCATTTCTTATATAGGCTAATAATAATTATTATTATGATAATAATTATCTCCACTGAAAAAAATCTCGCCTTCTACATTCGGAGGGTGAATAGGCCTGAACTTCAACTGAATCTTTCTCCTTGGGGATAAAACCTCCTCCTGCTCTTCTCCATGACTTTGAATGAGCTGCTTCTTCCATGCTACTCTGACAAGTCTCCACAAAAACCTCAACACATCTGAACCATAGTTATATAGCTTACAGGGCACACCATTAGGCCCCAGGGCTGCTCCTGCTATTGCTCACCTAACTATCATTTCCACTTCTCTCAGTGTTGGTGCTTTGGTGTCCATAGCCTGTTCTACTGCTCCACTGGGGGGCATATCTACTGGCAGAACTAGCTTCCTGTCCTACCTTTATCTGCTCGCATCTAAGTAAGGCTCTAGTTCTCTCTAAGGCACTTTCAATATGCCACTTTTCTCCTTATTAAATAGTGCATTGGTGAACTTATATGGATCCTTATAAAAACCTGCCCTGGTGCATTCTTTTTCTGGCTAGCTTTTCTAAGCATTTTTGCTCTCCTTAGATTTGCCAACCTAGATTCCAGGTCATTTTGCAACATATTAAAGCTCTCTCTCACTTTCTGTGGCTTTTCTCCACTGATTTCTAAGCTGCCTTGTTCTTGAACAAGCCTATCAATCCTCTGCTGCCACCTTGACTTTATCTCTACTGCTGCTTTATTTCTACTCTCACAAACTCCAAACCATTGAACTCCATATTTATAAATTACATTTCCCATTTTCTCTAGTTTCTTCCTTCCCTGAATTAAGTGTTGCCCATATACCCCTCTCAGCAGCCCTAGACAAATTTACTTTGGGTTTTTGCCCTATGCCCTTCTCTTTCTTTGGCTGCCTACTCTCACCACTCTCCTGACTCTTCTGTTCAGTGCTACCTACTACTTCCTTTTACATTGCATCAGAAACCACCCTGTGTCAGTATTCATTCCAACACATCAGTCACACTTCTACTATGCCCTCATGTTAGCTTGCTCATGCTAACACCAGGAAGTAGGCCTCAAGCCTGCTGCATGTATCAAACACTTTTACCAAGCCTGTCCTCTTATGCTAGTTTACTTCAGCTTAACAGACATAAGTGTCATATATGTTGTCATTTATAAATCACTTTCCTATCTTTACCCCTCTCACACACCTTTTTTCTGCTCCAGAGCCACTCACTGGACCTTGCTGTGCTATCAGCTAAATTCCTAATTACCTGTCTTAGGCCCCGCCCTTTTAGAACTAACACCTAGCAGAGAGACAGCTGAGCTGGCTACAAATCCCTTACAACCAACTTCCATGGGGCAGAATTTAATTTTCCAGCCATGCTCCTCTGCCTCCATGGCTAATTCTGTGTATTTCAGTTTCTTCCTCTCATAAGCTGCATCTACAGCGTCCTCCCAGGGGAACTGTAAGCTCAATAAATTATAAAGTCTACTGTGCTTCTGACCACAACACAAGGTGTGGTCTGAGGTTAGTACTGACTATCTTCTGAGGAACTATGAGTTGAGTCACTAAATCCACTTTCATTTACCAGTTTCTTTCTGCCATTAGCTGCCCTGCACCCTGCCTGTTCGACATGACTTGCTTCCTGCCTTTTTCACCCTCACAAACAAACTTTAATTTTTAACAAAAGGCACCTTAGCTGTCTACTGACCAGCCATAATCACAATTTTATTAAACATAACCAATCACACAAATTAAGGCATGACAGCAACAATTAATCAAATGAAATTAATTTACAAAAATGCCCTTGTCCAAACAGAGCACATGGGTGGTCTTACATGATAGGACACTGATTCTTGCTCATTAAAGAATACATTTATTTAACAAATGGTCCACAGTCTAATTAGATTTTAAAGGGAGAAAATGTGGTGAGAGTAAGACCACTTTATCTGTGAGGCTGATCAGAAAGTATTTATGCACAGATGCCACCATGATGACCCACATACATCACACATATTTACATATAAAAGTAACATATTTACATATAACTGAACACCCAGGGAAATTCTGTTTTCACTGACCTCTGGTGATTTAACTTCTCAAACTACTGCAGGTTTACTTCAAGTCCCTGTGTGGTTACAGGTGCAACAAAGCACACTTCACAACAATAACCAATCATATCTAGCAGGTGAACCAGGCTTGACATTTTGAATCACAGAAGGCAATTAAACACTACTTCTCAGCTTAACTACAGCTGGCCAGAGCACACACATGTAAACACTGCAATCACAAGTACATCACTTTGCAGAGACATTTAAACTGTAAAACTTTAAATTTCTTACCACCAAAACAATGGAGAGAGGCAATCCAGCTTATCCATGCTCCATTGTTTTGCTACATTTTTGACCCTTGTGTAAGCATGAGGAACACCCCCCTCATCGACACGACTGGCCACAATCCAGATCACAGGCCAGTTCAGTTTCTTGATCAGCATAACAACAGGACAGAGCTGCCCAGGAACACCCAACTTGAGTTATTCCACAGAAACACACTGGAAGCCAATTTGCTGATAAATGGAGTGACAATGCCATTTTAGATGAAAAGGAAAATGTTTATACCATTGGTGAAGCTGCTGCAGACACACTACCGCTATTAACATAAAACCAACACAAGAGCTTGGTCTTCATTCCTGAAAAAAGCCATCTCCTCAGGCAGATGTTTCTCTGATCAATGGCTGCTTTATTCTCCCTTGGGTGCACATTAATTATGTTGCTCAAATTATAGCTTAGTATCCACCTGTATTACAAACATGAGCCACATTTCTGTGAAAACTGCGTGAATAAGTACCTATAGCACAGGGGTGTCAAACTCATTTTCACCAAGGGCCACATTAGCATAATGGTTGCCCTCAAAGGGCCAGATTAACAGTATAAATGTAACTAAATTTAATGTAATTTAAAATAAATTACACTACTTATCATATTGTTAAATAACTGTTTCTGTATTTATTACTTATTCAAGTTACAAATATTACATATGTATTTGCATAGATGTAAAAATAAATGTTCAGTTTAAGAAACCCACATTACTCCATCAATCAACAAACAATTCAAGTAAATCAGGAAAATATCAAAAACAACTTATGATAGTAACTTTATTCAAAACTTTTTTTGTCACAGTGAAGGGGGGCAGAACTATGGCACAACCAACAAGTGTGACAGAAGTAGCATTTTAAAACAACAACAACAACAACAACAACAATGAGGTGATGCTGCCTGTCCTTGAACACACCAAGTAGATCCCTCCTCACCCATAGACACCATCTGACACACATCCTCATCCATAGATCATGTTATGAAAATAACAAACACAAAACAAAATGCAAGCACAATCATTAAAATGCACACATATTCTACTGTTCTTAGTC